GGGCTCCTTCTTCCCTCCCCTCTCCGCTCCCATCCCGCCTTTCAACCTCCCTCCATCCCAATAACTGATTCATTACTTTTGTTGAACCACTTTTATGATTCTTGTTGCGAAGGAAGAAATAAGTGAACGGGAGACCTCAGCATTGTCCCTCGAGGACAGCAGCCCCCTCGCAGACAGCACCCTCTGATGCTAGCTGTGGGTGGCCCTTTTCTTGTGGGTGGTCCTCCCTGGGCCAATTACGTGGTCGGTGATCTAAGGTGGAGAAAGGGGAATCCAGGGGGTGAGTGAAGAAAATGGATTCAGGAAATGGTGAGGGGCGTTTGCTCAGTAACCCTGCTTCCTGTAAATCACTATTTCTGAAAATGTGAATGTGGACGTTAGAAAGTGGGAGATGGGGGGCGCGTGCTAGCCACCATCCTGTGACCTCTGCTCTCCTACGGTGACATCCAAGCATTTTGCTTTGTTCTGGAATTCACCCTGGCCTTCCCTCTTATTAGCCAGGCACACTCGGTAATTGGACTGAATTGATGAGGCAGTTTGGGGGTGGCCAGAGAATCCCAAGTTGAGGCCTGAGGTCGCCGCGCTGACCGTTGGTCAGCATGTTTAGCCCATGGGCTGTGCACAGAGTCTGCTTGGTAAGTGCAGGGTTTCAGAGGGACACGTCACATGGAGACTGGTATTCACTTTCCCTTACCTGCCCACCCGACGTGAATGGAGCCCCCAGAGACCGCCACTGTGTTCCACTGTCTTGCTCGGTACAGATGGCACATAAAACTGCCTCGTGTCGCTTTTTCATTTCATTGTTCAAAGTGCTGACAGCAAGGGGCACCGGGCCAAGTGCTGATTCTGTACTTTCCCTCCGAGACCCGGCTTCTCTGCCTGCTGCAGGGATCAGAGGGATCGATTCCCCTTCCTTTCTTTTCCTCTTCGCACCTGAGTGTAATAACCAAGGGGCAGAGCAGGAAGTGGAGGGCATGTTCCCAGGAGGAGTATCAGCTTCCCTGCTGGGGGACATGGGGAGCTTGATCTCCAGCAGCTCCTTGGCTGGGGGTTCACAGCCCCCAGGCCACCTCTGGGAAGTGTCCTCACCATGACCACCCCCTTTACTTGCTACTGCCTGCTTGAGGGGACCACGTCAATGTGGCACTTCTCTGTTGTACATCGGTTCCACTCCTGCCGTCCATTCTGCACACACTCAGCATCAGACAGCAATACCAGGGGCCTCAGGCCTTTGCCTCCCCGCTTCTGAGGGGTCAGGCTGGGGAGGGAGCAAAAGATACACTCTGGGAATTTGCTGATTCAGCTGGCACCTCTGCCCCTCTCGAGGAAAAGGCCTGCAGGCCAGGCTCCTTCAGTGTGCATCAATAGAGAAAGGTCATCTTGTCTTAAAACCTTCGAAATGTCATTGCGTCTCATTTGGTGGTCACTGTCCTACAGTGCTCAGTTTGGTACCCTGTGGGCTTAAACCTTTCAGATGAAACAGAATAATTCAGGACATGATTAAAATGATATAAAATTTATTCTGGGGAAAAGCAGATAGATTCACGAGACATCTGGCTCCTGTTTGTGATGGATCCTCAAAACAAACCTAAATTTTCTGTTCTGTGCCCATGAGAGAAACCAGAAGTCCAGAGCATCCTAAGGCCGGGTTTTGTGCCATATGTGGCTCTGCTGGTAGGAAGGCATTTCATACAAGCAGCCCCTCAGGGGGCCACGTGGAGTCTGATCATAGCCACAAGGAAGAATTTATAAGTTAGTTTATAGTTCATTTTAAAAGGAAGCATAAACCGCTGTGGTGGTCTTTTGTTGTATAACAAGAAAACTAGCATCCCTGCTTTAACGTGTAATGTTTACCCAAGATTGATGAGCTGGAGGAACAGTGCAGTGAGATCAACAGAGAGAAGGAGAAGAACACCCAGCTGAAGAGAAGAATCGAGGAGCTGGAATCGGAACTACGAGAAAAGGAGACAGTGAGTAACAGAGCCAACGGCGCCCTTGGCGTCCCCTGGGCTTTGTGGGGTGATCTCTACCCAAGGGCACAGCAGGTGGCTGTGGGCATGTGACCAGCCCTGGCAGCTGCCTGGACGAAAGCACAGAGACAGAGTCAAGTGTCGCACCAAGGCACACACACCCCATTGCAGAGGCCTAACCCTTACCCTCTGCAGCCTCTTCACTGTATTTGTTATGTGGTCAGTCATTCAGATCCAAGAGAGAGTTGAATGTTGTGCCAAACACTTGGAAACTTTTATTAGACAATCCATCGTCAGAAGTTTAGTTTTGCTGTCAAATTAATGCAGCAAGAGCCACCAGTCACACTGCCATTTATTTTCCAGGGAGCAGCACAGCGAAGTACACAGATGCCACAGACGATGGGCATGTAACACACTCAGCCCTTAGACTATCTGATGTGTGTTAAGTGCTAATGTCATCACCTTTATTATTTATGCAAACAGCACAAGTTCCAAAAGCTGCTTCCATTCCTGCATGTGCAAGTTGGGGGATTTTCAAGAATGCATCGTGGTGTCTGACTTGCTTTCACATTCTTTTTCATATTCCTGTCTCCTGTAGGAATTGAAAGATCTCCGAAAACAAAGTGAAATCATACCTCAGCTTATGTCAGAGTGTGAATACGTCTCTGAGAAGTTGGAGGTAAGCGGGAGCACATGCGTCTGGCTCAGACGAGGCTTTGCCGGGTTGTTCATCTCTCCCAGGCCTCTCCCTCTCACACCCTGCATGGTAGAGAAGAGCGATTTTCTAAAGCCAGCAGTGACTGCATGCCAGATGCCATCTCTGTCCCCCAGTGCAGGCTCAGCAGCATTTGTCTTTTGGTTTTTCTCCTTACGTGAAGGTGTCTTGTGCAACATAACCATAGTACAGGTGACTGCTTCCCATGCACAGGACCCCAGAGGCAGTGAGGGGCAGGAGCGGGGTCCGAAGGGAGGGCTGAGAGTGTAAGACTTGGGTGCTATTCAACCTTGCCACTCTGCAGCCAGTGACCTTGCACGTGACCTTGGGCAGGTCACCCCACTTGCTGGCTCAGATTTCTGATCCACAAAAGGAGGATTTTAACCCCCTCTTTCACCTCTCCTCACTTCAGGCGCTCTTTCTCAGGTAGCGACCCAATGTTAGTAAGGAGTCCCTGTGTGAATGTTCAGAAAAGTCACATTTCATACCCATAAAGTGGAAGCGCTCATTTGATATGAAGAGCGCAGGCTGAAGCCTCATTTTAGGACTCACAGCCATCCTGTCTTTAGGAGCTTGAACGTCTCCATGGTAACACCATGGTCGGATGGTGCACAGACCAGCTGTCCCCGAGTCTGGCATGGCCGGTCGTGCCTCCGTGAGGGCGGGAGGCTGACCTGGGGCCAAGGAGGCCTCCGCCTGTGAGTGGAGCCGGGGGAAACACGTCGTCCCCCTGTTTGTCCCGTGTCTCTCTCAGAATAGAACTGAACAGGGCCTCTGCTGACCATTCTGGGATCGGGGATGAAAATGCCTTGAGCCAGGCTTGCAGACATTCTCTGCTGGGCACTCGTGAAAGGGTCAGTTAGCATCAGGTGCCCTGGGCAGGATTCTGACTTCTGCATTCTGTGTAGGGACGTTGGTTTTCAGGCCAGATGTTGGTCGTACACTCTGCCTGTTGGCATCTCTGCCAGGGAACAGACAGGGAAGGAGGACATGCCTTCTGTTCTGCCACCAGTGGTCGCGCGCTGAGGGACTAGCACTTCTGCGGGTGCAGCCCCGCGGGAGAACGCACCGTCGGCTGTAGCAGGTCTCAGGGGACGGCTCCCATCGCTGTGTTCTCCACACCCTTCTCCCTTTTGTTTCAGGCAGCAGAGAGAGACAATCAGAACCTGGAGGACAAAGTGCGTTCTCTGAAGACGGACATCGAGGAGAGTAAATACCGACAGCGCCACCTGAAGGTGGAGTTGAAGAACTTCTTGGAGGTCCTGGACGGGAAGATCGAGGACCTGCACGACTTCCGCCGCGGCCTCTCCAAGCTGGGCGCCGACAACTAGGGCCCCGCGCGAGTCCCAGGTGTGTGCGTGAGACAGCCAGGACTAGGGCGTTCTCCCGTTTGCGTTGCTTCTGTACGTGCGGGCGCGGTTGGTCGTGTGTCCAAACCAGCTGTGCCGTCCACTCTCCTCTCCAGATAGAAGCCTCTCGCCTCTCTGGCCTTTTGAGGTTGTGGACAACTGGAAGGTTCTGACTCAGGAATCCAGAACTAGGTCTACCTTCACCGTTTACGCAGTCAGGGCAGGGATGTTCATATCTTTCTCAAGGGCTGTTGCAACCATACGAGCTGAAATAGATTTTCTAATCCAAATACGAATGTCCTTTCCACCTCCTTTTTTTGAGTAGCATTCAGAGTGTTTGAATGTCCACCAGGCACCCGAGCGTGGGGCATGGAGATGGCAGCTTCCCTCTCAGTAAGTATCAAGATACTTTAAAGCAGCCCCTCAGCAGAGATTCGTCCAGACAGAGGAGACAGGCTTTTCTGGTGGGCGCACTCACCCACGTGGGGATCGCCGGCGTCCACCTTGCCCCCCCTCCCCCACCCCCACCCAGTTCGTAGGGTTGCGGCAGAGCGCCTTTTCTTGGTTTTAATTTCTGAGCAGGTTGCTGTGCTGTGGGAACAGCACGCAGTAAGGGCGCCTAGCACAGTGCCTGGCACAAAGTAGGTGCTTAATAAATATTTGTTCAATTAAACATACAAACAGAACTTAGTGTTTTAATCGAACCCCAGCAGAGTCCCTGTTGAACAGTCCAGCATCTTGGCGCCCTGGGTCATTATGAGACATGAATGCACTTGTTGGGTCAGGTGGCCCTGAGGCAGGGAGGGTGGCAGTAGAAGCAGCAGGAGCTGGTGGCCCCACCCCCTGCTCCTGGGGGTCTCTGACACTGGGACCACCCTTCTTCTCTAGGCCTGGGTCCTGTGGCCTGGACCACTGGCTGTCCCTATCTAGGGACTGTCCAGGGCTGGGACCTGGGGGGGATCCCATGTTGTGTTTAGACAACTGAAAAAGAAATCACAGTAGCTCTTGAGGGCTAGAGAGTCGGCTCAAGTGGCAGAGCCCTGGCCTTAGTGACAGAGGAGCTCTGCCCAGATCTGCCACTCTCTCTCAGTTCCTGCTAAGGAGCGGACAGGAGCCACCAGCCTCTCCTCCCTTGCAGAGTTTTTCAGTGGGCACCGGGTGCCATTGGCATCCTTGCCTGGGAGGGCCGCCCCTGGGCTTGGCCAGGGGGTTTGAATCCTGGCTGTAGGCATTTCTAAACGCCTTCAGTAGAGGGCGAGGCCTTGGTGCCCCCTCGTCTGCTTTGAGAGCCACTAAGAGAACTTCCTCCTCCAGAAGGATTTTCTCACATGGTTTGAATTTCTCCCGGCTGAATTTGGATAAATGATAAAACAGCCTGGGGTGATCTGGAGAACTTTAGGGGAGACCCTGCAGACTGAGTGGTGGCTTTGAGCACCTGGCATATAGCAATGCAGTTTTGTCAGCCCTCTTGTGATTTGATAAGGCCTTCTGGCTCTACCCTTTCAGAGTTCCAGGAGGCTCTTGGTAGCAGCTCCTTACTAGCCGCGCCTGGAGACCAGAGAGCTGGGCTGGCCCTGAGCCAGGCCTGTGGCCAGCAGTGAGGTAAAGGGGATTCTTCTCAGATCAGGTCAGTCCACCTGCCAGCAGACTGGGCATGTGGCTGCCCACGAGCAGTGAACACTGGAGTCCAGAATCGCAACTTGTGTATTCCGAGGCCCGCCACCCCTGTCTATCATAGTGATGATGGAAAACACTGGAAGCAGTAGAGCTGTTACTAGGGTGGCCGCTGCATCCCTGTGTGTCCTTGTAATCCCTGCTCACTGATCCTTGAAGAGTTTGGTGTGTGCCTTGTAGGTCGGAGCTGAGGAGCTAAGAGCACTGGGGGCTTTGCTGAAGGGGGTGGGAAGCTGGGTCCGGCAGGGAGAGCGCAGCTTCACAGAGCGCTAGACTCTGTTCCTCTGCTTTTCTCTAAAGATTTTGATGTTTCTTCATTTACTTTCTTTTAAGAAAAACGGCCCCAGAACAGCATGGACAGTCAGTACAGAGACTGGCCCTGTCTGACAGCCTCTGGCTCGGTGAGCCAGTGTAACACGTCCTCGTTTGGTAGGACGTCACACTCTAGTTTCACCGCTGATGTCCGTTAGTTGTCATTATGTTGAGCCAGGTGCAGGCAGGACATAAACCTTTCACTCATGAACGTCCGGCCACGCTGTGCTGCTGCAAGATTTAGAGCCAGGACTGCATTTTTGTTTCCAGGTGCGGTCTCCTTATTTTGACATCTCCGAGACTGGCTGCCTGATTCTGGATTAGCTTTCTTTCCGCATCCATGAAACCTGGGGTCTAGGAGAGGCCAAGTAAAACTTGAATCCGTCTATCCATAATGATCCTTAAAAATAACTTTCGTTCCAGTAAAGACCCAACAGGATACATTGCAAAGTTGAGAGTGGCCAGCAGAGGTGAACCCTTCCTGGTGTCCAGGGAATGTAAAACCACCCGAGGGACAGGTTGGAACAGTGTGGTCAGGCCTTGAAGGGCATCCACGTGAAATGCCTTTCAATGCCATATTGTCACATTAGACCTCAAGTGGAGAGAGGACCGAGTGGAAATCATCACCCCTATATTGTAGACAGGAAGCAGAGACAGAGGGTGACAGGCCCAGCATCCCCAGCTAGTGAACAGCAGCGTCGACTCTGCATCCAGGTCTCCTGGAGCTTGGTCCAGGGTCTTTCTATAAACCCTGCTGCCATTCTCCTTTTGGTTACCCTTGGGTGCCAAGGAAAAAAATCTGTTAAGAGCACATTGCAGTTATACCATTTTAACATATGTCCACAGCAAAGTACAATTTAAAATGAATGAATGAGAATTTCATGTACATTCATTAGAAATAGTTCCATTCTTGAAAGATTCTGGTTTTGCAGAGGTCCTTCCGAGAGAGTGTTGGTTAAGATGAAGTCCGTGCTCTGAGAGGCCAGATCTGAGTCCTTTGTCGATGGCTTCAGTGGAGGCAGTGGTCCATTCAAGACACACAGGAGGCCCTGAGGCTCCAAGGCAGTACACAGAGTTCTTGCTGGGGGTCGCCTGTCCGTTGCCCACCCCCTTCCCAGACGGGAGCCAGCTCTGTGCAGGGAGCAGCCACTCAGTGGTTGGAACAGGTCAAATGAGACCTACCCAACCCGAGGCTGTCCATGGCGGGCAGCTGGTCTCCAGCCTGCAGCCTCCTCATGGACTTTTCGCTTCGGTCAGCCTGCGAGCACAGGCTTCAGGATGGCGGTTTGCTGATGCAGGACCGGTATGTACTGAACGTGACGTGGGACAGCAAATAAAGGGGGGGATGGACCGTAGTTAACATGCGCCCAGAAGCAGTGCGATCAGCCCAATTTAAAAAGAGTCCTTTTCTATAAAAAAGTCTACTCTTCTCTGTGGCCAGCCGCAGGCCGGCGACCTCACTGGGGGACCTCACGTGTGGTCGCTCTTAGAAGGTAGCCGTGATGTGACTTAGCTGAGGCCCTCAAAAGGGGCTGTCCTTTAAGAGGGAGCCAGCCACTGCTCTTTGCTCATCACTGAAAGTGGGTGGTTTGTGCCATCTGTCCTTCTAAAGGCGGTGATTCTTTTATTCACTTGAAACATTGCTGGATTTTGAAGCACTGACGGTTTACACTAGAAGCTTTCAAATCAATGCCCAGATATATTTTTAAATGGTATGCATGGTTTAAAAGGATCCTAATTTCTGAGTACATAGTTTCCTCCAAAGAAATATTATATATTCTGGGGATGGTGGGGGTGACGGCATGGAGAGGAAGTCCTCTATAGAAATGTATGTTATTTATGTGTCCTTTCTGTACACCTGTCTCAAGAATATGGGTTTTCTAGTTCCTCTTTAAACACCAGCCAGGCAAGAAAGTGACTTTGGCGAGAGAGAGAGAGGGAGAGGGAGAGGGAGAGGGAGGGAGAGAATGAGCTACAAAGTGAGTGATGCTGTTTGTAGGGCAGGCATCTTCAACCTGTATGCAAACCACAGGCCTAACTGCGCGCGTGCATGTGCGTGTGCGTGTGCGTGTGCATGTGTGTGTGTGTGTGTGTGTGTTGGGGGAGGAAACAGCATGGGCAAGTGGAAGAAACAATATTTTCAGTTAAGAATATGTATAGCTAAGAGGAATCTTAAATAACCCTGGTGGTGATATCAAATGGGATCCATGTGTGAGAAGACTTTGTGGGTCTTTTGTTTCAAGCAGAATTGTACAGTGCCCTACTCTCTTTGACGCTGCAAAGCCTTGTGAAATGTGGTCCCCTAGGTCCCACAGACCCCCGGTGCATTTGGCAGGAGCCCAGAGAAACCACGGTGGAGTCCAGACTGTGGGACATGTTGGCAGATGATCGATAGGTCTGATGATATGCAGGGAACGTGTCACTGTTTTTACCCGGTCATGCTACTTTTAATATAAAGTCATGACTTTACATAAATTGTAACAATGCCTTATGATGTGACAGGCAATTAGGCATTTCTTCCATCAGATGTTAGAATTCAATGAGTAGTTTGAGGTGGACACGTGGAATTTTCAAGAGTATTAAGTTTTTTTTCCCATTTTTAAATGCCTTTTTGGTACACAAGTAATATATTCTTTAAAAGAAAAAAGAAACTACAGACGAAAGAAAAAAATCACCTGTTATTACACCATCTGGTTATAACCACTGTTAACATTTTGCTATATATCTTTCAGACTTTTTTCTGTGCCTCTGTATTTGTTTTATTTTTCATCAAAGACAGTCATACATGCTGTTTTATAACTTGTTTTTTTTAGCACTGTATTGTGAATATATTTCTATATCAGTAACTATGTATTGCATCATTTTTAACACCTGTGTAGGTTGTACCTTGGACACCTAGGTTGTTTCCAGTTTTTTTCCTGCTATAGTCAAGGATATGATGAAATCCTTTTTTCCAACATCTTTGTGACTTTTTCAGAATATTTACTTAGTATGATTTTCTAAACTGGACTTTCT